ACTACATATTAATAATGTACTTTAGTCTAAGTTAAAAATTCATGTGATTGATTGTTTTTAGTACATACTTAAAATATGGTGTATAAATATTTTTTATGCGTAGGCAGTCAATACGTATTAGTAATTTATTATTCTACAAATAATAAGTAAATGACAAGTACAAATGTGTTAAATTTTTATATTGAATAATGCTTTATTGTATGTAATACACTTGTTTGATTTGAGAAATGTAGTTAAAAACAAATGTGTTCAATCTCTTAAGAAATTGATCATAAGTATACATTTTCATTTTTACTTACAATTTGAAAAAAAAACACCTAATACAAAATACATCACTTTTTAGGCTTAAACATATTCATAATATTTTCTTTAAAATTAGTCAACATTACACACACACCAACAATTTCAGATGACAAAGGAAAATAATTATGATTTAATTTACTTGAAAGAATTGTAAAAGTTTTTAGAAGGCCAATGAATCTTTCCACGTGTACTCTATGCTTTGAAACTTTTTTTTTTCATAATAGTTTTATGTAGTAACGAGCCAGACACTAATGAAGTAGGTGTAACAACTGTCACATTATATGGGGCAAATATATCTTGAACTATGAAACCTTTGTCAGCTATTACAGTATCTCCTGGTTGACACTTCTTATGAAAATTGCTTCTTTCAATAATTTGACGATCACTGATTGATCCACCATAAGCTGGTGAAACGTATGTAATCAATCCACCTGGGCTACCACCTATAAGTACCTTGACAGTTGGTGCATTCTTATAATGACTAAACGTTGACTGTTTTTGGTCAGGATTGCTCAAGCCTTCTGTTTTAATCTCAGTTCTATCTACTATTACCCTTGCAGTTGGATAATTATTTTTGAATGTATCTGGCATATAAAAATCTATAAGTTCTCGATTAGGCCATAAATCAATAAGAGACCACCTCTGTGACATGAAGATAATCCATAAAATAAATATGTTCTCCACAGCACATTCAGATATATTAAAGTGCTCTTCCAGTTCAATATCTTTCGGATACAGTCTTAATTTCCATAAAACAAGAAACAATTGATCGGGTATCTCCAAGTTTCGTATATTTTTTCTTACATATTTCAGTTCATGAACACCTGGTCCTAAGGAGTATAAAACTGTTAAAAACTTCTCATAATTCTCTAGTCCAGTAAAATGAAGTAATGATTTGGGTTTATATTTAAAGTCTGTTATTGTGTATCGTGGGGCTGAATAAGTTTGTGATGACATTGATCGATATTCTTTTAAATTATTTTCAACACTATTTTGTTCAACGTTACTTGGCAAGTCAACTATTTTATCAATGTCCATCGTCTCAACATAACTATAAACTTCTTCTTCGTATGAATCAATGTTATATTTAATATTTGAATCACTATCATCAATTAAAGTGAGATCAATGACTTAATCGACAATCACAACATCACTGGAATTAATGGAACTGCTTTCATATGCATCATACAATTCTAATTTTGAAGTGGGCGAACTTTGCTCATCAGCTGTATCTGATGAATATGCTTCTGCAGTAGATTCATTTGGACATAGGTCCTCATTAAAAACTTCTGTAGCCTAGAATTAAGAAAAGATAAATTTATACACACAGAATTACTAGATTCCATATTTATACACAGTAAATTATTCATGTTTTTACATTAACAGGTTGTTTCGCTTGCACTTCAATGTTCGGTTGTAGTGTAGACGTATTTGATAATATTAATAAATTTCCTTCTGGCTCTTTCAACTGACCATCAGAATTTTCTTCAATAACATTTGTAAAATGTATTGGAACACTTCCACGTTTCAACCTTTTATTTCGGAGTTTATAGCCACCTAGTTAAAATATAAGATTGAAATAAAAATATTTTACGTAAATTTTAATTAATCTATTTACTATTTAATCCAATAATTTTAAACTTACTCCTGTAGGATTCTTTAATAATATTTTTTGGATCAAAGTGGTCGAGGCATAAGCCATGACTTGGGAGCGGCAAAAATGTTGGTCTCCCAATTGCTTCGAGCCACTTTTTTTTATCACACTATGAGAAGGAAATTTAAATTTCACTTTCTTATCACAGGATATTACACTGCACTTCATTTTTCCTACTATCTTTCAACGTAAATGCAAACAAAAATTGTCTGCAAACAACAGCAATCATTTACAAAGGTTGTCTTCTGCTTTGCTCATTACACAGATAGGCTCACGAACACAATACACAACTGTAAATTTGACGGTGTGTAAGTGCGACGGCCATGACAGCCGCGACGTGCCCTGGCGCCACCTGATTCAAGCTTGACTGTAAAAGAGCCTCATAATACAGGAGGAATCAAAGTTGACACGCATGTATGTAATATCACTTCGCCGTACTCCCTTTAATATTACACTTGGGTTTTTTTGAGTTTATAAAATACGATCTACAGAAAAATATAAATACAGTATATTACAAGCAATGTGTAAGCCACTCCAAGATTATACATAAATATGTTGATACGTTTTTACAAATGTCAATGTACAGGCTATGTAAAATTTTTATCTCTGTACAATTAACAAATGATCATGATTAAAAAATTAATTGTTGGTACATAAAAAACAATCTATGTATGGCTGTCCAGATAACAAACATTTAATGTCAGAATATTTCGTATTGCGCCGAGGCCGTACGGTCACATTAAAAAGTCACAGACCGTCAAGCTCGCTGGATAAGAACAACCAAATAAAATCAATTGGTCTTTATGTATTCTTCAAATACTATGTTTGGCTAACGATTTGAGAGGTGTTGAGTTGAAAAATATTAATCGGGCTTTAAGTAGCAAGCTATGGAAAATAGCAAAAAAACGCATTTTTTGAAAGTTGTCGAATTTTTTACGGGATAAGTATTGGGTTTAGGCATATGGTATGTGTAAACTTTTTTGTACAAAATGAGCTAAAGAATAGGAAAAAAAATTTTTTTCCAAAAAAATGAATAATTTTTATTTGTTTATAAAATTTGTTGATAAAAAAAAATTGTCCATCCGGATCGCGACCCACCATCGATAATCGTGTTCAGCAGGCAAAAATACATTAAAAAAACTTTGGTGGGTCCGTTCTAATTGAAAAGGCCACGGGACCCTACCTGGCGCCTAAACT